ACCTGTCGGGCCCGAGCATTGAACCACCGATTGCAGAGCACGAAGCAATATGTGTGGATATGGAACCAAGCTGCATGGATGCAATTGTAGCATTCTTAAAGGAAGGGAAGCTGCCAGATGACCACAAATAGGTACACAAGATCAGATTGAAGTCAGCAAGATTCAGTCTGACAGCGGAAGGACATCTCTACAGAAAATCCTTCACTGGACCCCTTTTGAGGTGTGTACATCCTTCACAAGTTGAAGATTTTTTATATGAAATTCATGAAGGAATTTGTGGAAGCCACGCTGGGGGCAGATCACTTGCCCATAGGGCCATTACCCAGGGATATTGGTGGCTCTACATGCAGAAAGATGCAGAAGCCTGTGTGAAAAAGTGTGAAAAATGCCAAAGATTTGCACCTCTGATACACCAACCAGCAGCAGACCTGAACCCAGTATCCAGTCCTTGGCCGTTTGCTCAATGGGGCATGGATCTCGTTGGGAAGCTGCCCCAAGCAATTGGACAAAGAAAATACCTGCTGGTGGCAACAGACTACTTCACCAAGTGGATAGAAGCTGAACCCCTTGCCAAAATTCGAGATGTTGATGTGAAGAACTTCATATGTTTCGCTTGGATGGGAAGGAAGTATGCACGATAGTCGCATCTTCAATGAGATAGTAACAAATGGCAATGTCCCATTTCCACATCCTGAAGAAGGTAAAACAATAATTTGAAAATATTTGGGTACCTAATATATGAGAAAACATCGTTAATTTAAAATTAAACACAATTGGGTGGTTTGTTTGAAAATATGGTACTGTCTGCAGAAAAATATTATCTTGTCGATACTGGCTATCCGAACCGGGCAGGTTACCTAGCACCTTTCAAAGGCAGCCGTTACTACCAATAACAATTCTGCATTAGTGAAGAGAATAGACAGCAAACAGCCCTAGGGAATTATTTAATAAAGTTCACTCGTTGTTACGCAGTGTGGTGGAATGGACTTTCGGTGCCTGGAAAAATCGATAGGGTTTATTAGAGACATGCCTCTCTATGATTTTACAAATGTGCAAGTTCAGTTAGTAGGTGCATCAATGGCATTACATAATTATATACGTTGAAATACAGGCAATCCAAAAACTGTAAATCCCTGTTTTAACGAAGAAGAGGCTATGGCTTTTGTGAATGCCATACCAGAAATTGAACATAACGGGGATGGTTTAATGATTGTGGATGAGGACCTGCATATGGCGTTGGTGCAATTTCCCATACGGGACAAGTTAGTGTACATGCATAATAATGGCCTTTTAGGAAATATTTAATAGTTCACCTAACATTTGTAAGCTTGTAACATTGGTAGGCCACGCGGAAGAGGTTGTACGTAAGTATATTATAATGTACAATATGTATCTCTGTACACGGTAAATAAAATCGAAATTAGCATTGTCCACGTCATTTACAAAAAAGAACGGGAAAAAAGCCTTTTCCGAAAACAAGGAAAAATAAAAAAAATTAAGAGAAAAAATCGAAATTATCATTGTTCACGTCATTTGCGAAAATAAAACACAAAAAACCTTTTCGAACAAAACAATAACAAATTAAATAAAAAAAATTTAAACAAAAAAAAAAGACATTAATGAAACCAAAATTAGTATTTAGGTGCGTAAAAATACAAGAAATACAAAAAATTGAAACAAATTAATAAAATAAATAAAAAAAGATTGAAACAAATTAATAAACAAAAAAA